ATATTCAAATAAACCAATCCACAAATTCGCCAGCAGAAATAGATAATACCATTCACTACTTCAACAACGTAATAAATTCCGCAATAGACAAAAGTTCGTATAAAAAGAAAAACAACATCTACAAAGACGATTTACCAGTCGAGATTATAAATGAAATCAAGAATAAAAACCAGATTAGACGTATATGGCACAAATACAAAGACCCAGCGACGAGAAAAATACTGAACAGAAAAATCAAACTCATAAGAACAATGCTGACTGTACACAAACAAGACACATGGGACAAATTTCTTGATTCATTGGACCCCCAAACAGGTAACATTTATAAACTTAACAAACGCCTTTTAAACAAAACTCCAGCCCAACACCCGCTGAACGGACCAAACGGACAGGTATACGGAACAAAAGAGAAAGCGGAACTATTTGCAGACGTATACGAAGACCAATTCTCACCGAACACAGGTCAAGACCTACCCGACGTGACCTTATCCATCACAACAATAGAGTCAGAGGTACAGCCCTCAAACATTTTTACGTCGCCATACACAGTCCAGGAAACAATAAGAAGGATACCCGCAAGGAAAGCACCCGGCGAAGACAAAATAACAAACACCGCGCTCAAAAATTTACCAGCAAAAGCCATTCTATTGTTAACAAAAATTTTCAACAGCTGCTTACGACACAGTTACTTTCCCCTCGCGTGGAAAACCGCCACAATAATTACAATACCGAAGCCAGGCAAAGACCCCAATGTTGCAGCTAACTATAGACCGATATCGCTGCTGTCGTCAATATCAAAAATCTATGAAAGAATAATATTAGGACTTTTAAAAGAAGTCATAGAACCAAAAATTCGCGACGAACAGTATGCATTCAGACAACATCACTCTACAACTCATCAACTGGTTAAATTAGTGGACAAACTGTGTTGTAATGCAAACAATAAAATGAAAACTGCAGCCGTATTCCTTGATGTCGAAAAAGCGTTCGACCGTGTCTGGCACAAAGGTCTACTCCACAAATTGCTCAAACTTAACACACCGATTAAATTAATCCATATAATTAAGTCATTCATAAGCAACAGAACCTTCAGAGTCAGAATAGATAACATTATGTCATCGGCGAGACCGATCACCGCCGGAGTACCGCAAGGTAGCTGCCTATCTCCTCTTCTATACCTGGTGTATACTAATGACATCCCGTCAAGCGACCAAGTCGCCACCTCACTATTCGCCGACGACACAATGTTATACGCATCGGACGTCAACCACGACCGGGCAATAATCAAGCTACAGAAACACCTAAGTGTCACAATAGAATGGTTTAAAACTTGGAAACTCAAAGTTAACCCATTGAAAACAACGGCGGTCATATTCAATAAAATACCAAACAGTGTAAGAAGAAAAATCAACATTAACGGAACCCAAATTCAATGGAATAACCAAGTAAAATACCTCGGTGTCACTCTCGACTATAATCTAAACTTCGACAAACATGTATCGGAAGTATTACTAAAAGCCAACCGCTGCAGAGGAGCTCTCTTCCCTGTACTAAACAAACACAGCCCGCTACCGATGAAAACAAAAATCAATATATACAAAATGTACATCAAGCCAATAATTACATACGCCGGACCAGCATGGGCACCAAACGTTTCAAATACAAACTGGAAGAGAATCGAAGCAACGCAGAACATCAGCCTCCGATACATTACAAAATCACCTATATTCGTGTCAAATCATACTATCCGACAATCGGCCAATACAACGACAATAAAAGACCAGATTAGACAAGAGACATTACGATTCTTTCTCAAAAACAGCTGTTCAACGCACGAACACATCCGCGAACTTGGAAGGAAAACACATCCACCAGCAACAGCATTAAATAAAAGGAAAACGCAACCGATCACATGGATAGAATAAAATCAAGTAAGTACAAACTAATCATAAATTTTATATAACTTGTTATAGGTACTCGCCTGGCACAAGTAAACAGGCTTTAAGCCGCCCACCAGCAAAG